TGACTCAGAGTCATGACTCAGTGATGACATTATTTTAAACTTATAAAATTTGAAGGGAACCATGGACAGAAATAGAAGGGAGAATGTAAGATGAATGATAGGAAGAAAAGAAACACCAAATTAATGACTACCATGTTCCTTTGTCTTGGAATAAAATAGAAACTTTACTAATAATAACACACAATTTAAATTTGAGTAATGCTTTCAGCATCATTATTTTGTTCGATGTCTAAAGCAACTCTGTGAACAGCTACAAAAGCTTATCTATCTCAGAGAACCTAAAGGACCAGCCATAGGCCCAAGACTAGAAAGTGGGGTACCAGCCAGAGTAGGGGGCTAGGCTTCCTCCCCTTGGGACATGGACTTCTCACAACAAAATCTGAAGGGCCCAGAGCCCTTGCGGGTGCTGTTTGAAGAAAACTAATAAACAAAACAAGCAAACAAGAACTATGTGCTGATTGAAAACTAAATGAGGTTCCAGAGCAAAATAGTAAACATAGGTATAATTCCCACATGTTCTGAGAGACAATTCGTAATGTTTGTAACACTCACTGAAGATAGAAAAGAATAGAGAAGCATGATTGGTCATTCTAAGTAAAAGAAAGGAGTGATAATATACACAGAAGACAGGACCCAGCAAAAGCAACCGGAGGTCAAAAACAATTGAGAATCTACTTTAAATCATATTTCCAATGTTTAATAATTATTGCTGATCTACTCATAGATTTGGTCTACTCATAGTTATTGCTGATCTACTCATAGATTTGCATTACCCACTAGGCAGCGTGATCTATAATACAAAAAATAATGTCTTGAATGGCTTTTAAATATGTTTCCTGTACAGTTTTCTGAATAATAATGTCCAATAAAAATTATTAGGTAACATTTTTTTATTTATTAAAAAACAAGTAAGTAACTTCAGCTTTTGGTTAGTTTTGTTCTGTTTGTTTTTAAATGATCTCTTTCTTAACTATAGGGAAACCTTATTGCTCATAAAAAGGGGGGGAGTGAGGGAAGAGGGCCCTGGCTGGTCTCTAAGCATTCTGCATACAAGCGGTTGCTACACAAGCTTCCAGGTCCTGAATTGAATCTCAAGGGCCAGAGCTGTGTGTGTTCCACAAAAGGCCCTTTGAAACTCCTTTCCCTTCCTGGGCTAACAAAGCCTAAGACAACTGACCTGAGGGACAGACCCGTTGGTTTGGCTTGGCTTCTGATCTCCCATGAAGGACGGTGAGCCATGCTCATCTCTCTAAAGTCCCTTGCCTACTTCCTCCATTATATTTAGCATTTGTTTTCCTAATGAGTTGTCTGTTTGCTTCCAGCTTCCAGTCAGAAAATGAATGTGTGCAAATCATCAACTAACTACCCAGTGCTTGGGTCCTACAAGGAGTTGTTTTATACATTTTTGAAACCCACCCACTCTAGAGCTCCTGCTGAATCTGTCTCTTCACTCTGTTTGCCCCATGGCTGGACAGGTACACTACTCTCTAGCTAGAGCTATCTTCAGCCTTGCACCTCCATTCCCTCCAATGACCACCTCCATAACTGCCCTTCCACACCTTGCTAGGTTTGCTGAGGTAACTAACAGTCCGACTAAGCATGTTCTAAGGGTGGCAGCAATTCAGAGAGAAAGTAAAAATTTAAAATATTTGAATCAGCCAGGTACTTACCATGGAAGAATTTTTTACATTTATATTGTGGCTTTGGGTAGTCTTTATTTTGAATTACATATGGTGGTGTGGGGGAAAATGAATCTTAATATTTTTGACTTATGGGGACCCTAAATATCATTATCAGGCCCTGCTTTCTAATGTCCAGCAGGTTGGTTTTTGCCATTCCTCGCTCCCCAGTGAAATTTCCACCTAGAGGTGATGTGACTCAGAGAGGCCAGTCCTGCTGGAATCTGGGACACGTTGAGCCTCCTTCTGCATTAATATAAACTGTTTACTTCCTGTTGTTCAACCTTTGCACAGCCCCAGTTACCTAAGGAAATTGTTTAAAAGCCAGTATTTTCAGTTTTTAAAGCTAAATGATAAAAACAAATGATAATTTGGTGGTGGTTTGGAATCTTCCTTTTCATGGAGCTAATGAACACCAAAATATATATGGTTATTTTTTCACACATGTAAAATACTGCAGGACTCCTGCTTCTCACTCATGTCTTCTAAAAGACACCTGCACATATTTTAATTAGGTCCCACAAGACCCACTATATAAAAAGGACATTGATACTTGTTATTTTAAGACCCAGGAGATGCTATGTAACCAAGCTCTCCCTAAACCATGAAAAGCAGTTTGCACATCAAGGTGGAAAAGCCCACCATCAGCATGTCCATGGGCATCAACTCAGATGGGTAGCTGCTGAGTGCAATTGGTTTTCTGTTCAAGGTAGCACCAAAGGGGGAAAAACCCTTGAGAGGATCTGGGGTTGATTTAGCAGCTAGCAGATATCATCAAATACTGTATGAGTGCTTGATTTTGAATACTTTTGATATGTTAAAAAAATATATAAATTTGCACACACACAAAAACTAGGTAGAGAGTGTATATCTTTTAGAAGATCCTCAACAACATTCCTTTATTAAAGAAAAAAAATACCACTACATTGCCTAGACCGTTTAAAATACAGTTTAGGTTTCATATTTTAATTTATATATAGCTTTTATGAATAGTTTTGGAAAAAATAAAACTATATGTGGAAGATCTAATGATTTGATTTGCAGCGAGAATTTTAAATTGTATTTTCAGAACTCAAACAACCAGAACATCTCCAACCCCTAGCACCCCAGCTATACATATTCTTTCCCTGTCAACTTTGTGCTGGTCAGGAATGAAGGGACAGAGGTTGCAAGGTCTACTAGACATCATGTGCCTCCTCCTTCTGCCCTGACAGGAAGAAATCATGGGGCCTGAAATTTTGTAAACATGAGGTTCTTGCTCAATGCCCTAGGGAAGGTAAACCCCAATCCCTGGCAGAGGGGAAAACTCCTCCCAGTTTCCAAAACTGGACAGTCAGGCCTAGTTTGAACCATGGGATCCAGCTGCACCAGAGTAAGCCCAGGTGGCCACAGTGTGGCCACATCAAAGCAAAACACACAAACAATCTGGGGATATTTCTCCAAGTTTTGGATGGAAATGTGAGTGGGTGGGAAGGCTGTGACAGCCCCTGCCTCTTACCCTCCAGGTTCCCTGGTCACCTTAGGACCTCCAGGATAAACCAAGCCCCTCTGTGGTTTCGAATTTGCGTATGGAGACAAAGAGGGTGTTCAGCCTCAAGCTGAATGAAGAGCACATGGGGAAGCAGGCCTCACTGACTGCAGCGCGCCTCGACTCCCCAAGTGATTTCTCTCCCACGCCCCTCGCGAAAGCCCTCCACGGAAAAATCAATCTCCTGGCCTTTCAATCTGCCTTCTGTCCTAGTCAGAGGTTGCCAAGCGTGAAGCATGACGGGGGCTCCTATCAGCGAACAGGGCCTGAGCAGCCGGAAGGAAAGAGCTGCTCTTTAAAAGCTTTTAAATGCTGTTATATTTTTAAAACCACTTACTGAAGAGGTGAGTTATTTCCTGCTCCTCCTTCCCCAGAAGCACAGCCATTAAGGTTACCTGGAAACCTGTCCAGGAAGCATGTGGCAAACAGCAACTGTGCCACAGAAACATCCCGGCCTGTGCTCCGACAGGAGATGGTATCGGCAAGGTCATACGTGGGTAGAGGTGGAATGGGAAAGTTAATCGGCTTGCACGTCCTGGTTTGGGGGACTGCCTGGTTACTTGGGCATTTGGGAGGGGGGCTTTGTTCCCAGCTTGGCGGGGGCGGGGCACGGGGTTGGTCTGAGTTGGAAACGAGAGTGCGCTGAGGTTGGGTGCTTCTCACACTGAAGACTGTACCATGAGAAGACACTGCCTCTGCCCTGGGGGAACTTCTTCCAATCTGGTGGGCACATGATGTATTCAGACAATAACCTGTGAACAATTTTTTTTTTAAGTTTCAGAAGCATGATAATATACCATGAAGAAGTATGTACTAGGGGGTCAAGAAGATTTCATAGTGGAGGTAATTTTAAATAAGGTCTTAAGAGACAGTGAGAACAGCAAAGAGGACATGAAACAAAATAACTAGAAGACAGGTGTTGGTAGAGTGAAAAATTTAGTGTTGTTTATTTTGATATTTTAATTTTTATGATTGTATGGGTGGGAAGGAGAGAGGACTCCTCTATTCTCTTTGTAGCCTTAGCTCCAGACTTTTGAAAAAACAAAAACAAAACCCTTCATGTTATGAAAGCATTTTTTGCTGGTTTTGCTTTTTTTCTTTCTTTCTGTTTCTAATGTGTATTTTATTTCCAACCAACACCCTTTCTATGTCAGATGAGGTGATAAACTTTGTAATTATAGAGAAGATGCAAAGCTGTGACTCAGCTGTTTCACCGGGCAGCTTTGCCCACAGACGCAGGGCTTTAGGACTCCAGCTGGCATGAAAAAAGCAGAGAGAGGAAATGGTTCACGAATATTTGCTGCACCCACTCCCTTTTGCTTTTCCCCAGAATATACCCTTTTTCTGATTCAGCATGAAGAAGGGTAACTGATGAAACATTTGTAATTCTGGAAGATAAGCTATCTGCAAAACTTGTGAAAAATCAGCTGCAACCAATAAGGCAAGCTCTGGGACAATTCCTGGGCTTTCTACGCTGACTGCTTTCCACTCAACAGTTATCAGTCCTATCGGGGCATCAGGGCGTCTGCGTGAGTCAGTAAAACATGGGCACAGTTACTTGAGCAACCACGGAGAATTAGACACTAAAAATATAGACAGGAAATCTCCACAATACAAACAGTCCCCAGGAGGGGAAGGGGGTGTGTGTGTGTGACATGCCACACTCCTCTCAAATTACGTAAAACCAATGTTGTCAACTGAGAATATTAAGTAATATTCTAGCCAGTCTCCCTGCCTGCCTGTTTCACAATTGCTGGATTTATCAGGCACCATCACCCGGGAAGAGCACTCACCTGAGCCCTGGGGAATGGACCGTGGTCTTGGCAAGCCTTCTAGACCTCAGCATCTCTGAAAATGGAATGAGGCATTTATCAGACCTGCACCTGGTCTTCCTAGTTACCTCGTCAAGGGTAAGAGGCAGGCGTTTAAAGACATGCATTGGAAGTCAAAAGACTTAGTTGCACCCCTGATATACTATAGTCTCAGAAAATTCACTTAAGTCCTCTGTGAGTCTCAGTCCCTCCATCTCCAAAATGATGTGCATCTGCCCTACCTATTCTACAAAGTCAGCTGTTAAAAATGCCACACCAAGCAAGGTTCCTCATGCATGTGTGTGTGAGAGAGAGAGTGTGTGTGTGTGTGTGTGTGTGTGTGTGTGTGTATAACAGTTTGGGGGGGGTGTTCTTTCTGGGGTGCTTGCCTCACTGTCCCCTACCACCCTGATGCACTGGATTCAGCCATAGTCTATTACTTAGCAAAGTTTCAGTTTGTATTTGTTTGCTCTCTCACATAAAACATATACACACAAACACACACACTCATAAAGAATCAGAATTTTTATTTTCCTTAATCCCCGGATTTCTCTGAGTGAGGAAGAAGCAGCTAGAATTTACATCACAAGAGTTACTCATTTCATACACCTGTGAGGATATAGCACACACACGAGCATCCTCCTTCCTGTGACCTGAGGGCTGGGCATGTGGATGGGGAAGAGTTTAGCTGCACAAAGCTAAACTCTGCTAGGCTTGGTTTGCACAGTGTTTGGGTTTCTTGTTTGTTTCTTTGTTTGCTCAGTCACCTGAAACGTCCCTATCCTTGTGTCTGAAAGGTACTCAGGGCAGGTACTCACACCCCTCCTGCTGGCCTTCACCCAGTTCCACTGAAGCAAGAGATCAGCAGGCAGCTGGAGATCCCCCCACCCCCCACCCCCAGGATTGGAAAGAAAAGAGCTGAAGAGGCCACAGATGGTTTCCTACCTTCCCTTCTTCGGGGTCAAAAATGAAACAAAACAAAAACAAAAAACATAAATGAAAGCACAAAAAATTCAACCAGGCGTAGAGATTTCTGTAGGAGAACTTTTAGGGGACAGTGAGATTTGAGATTTCACAAGAAAGGGTATTGGCTACCGGTAGGAAAAAATCCTGGGGAAACAATGAGCCGAGGCTGGGAATGCAGATGCAGGGAACTTCTCCGGGACACAATTCCCTCTAAACGTGGTGGAGAAGTGTAAGCGGCAGCAGGCCTGAGAAGGGTAAGAGGGGCGCCTTTCCGGGCCCAGGGACGCTCCCTGCTGTGCCGTCCCGTCGGGGCCAGCTGCGGTTCTCCTCCCTCGCAGGAGATGAAAGGCTTTGCCGAGCCCCTTCCTCCTCCGGAGTGAATTCTCTTCAGGTGTTTCACCTGATGTAAATCCAGGGTTGCTTCAGGCTCCTCCTTGCTCACTTGCTCACACCCTTTCAAACCCTCCTAGGTCGGTTGTTTCTCTCCAATTCTAACCCCATCTCATCTTTTCCCCCCCAATGTCAAAATTTTGACATAATTCTTAGAACAGATCAACTCCAGGCACCTACATTTTTTTTTCTAGGTGCAAAAACCCCAGAAAACTGTGGGCCGGTCTCCTCAGTTCCCTTCCTCTTCACCTGCATTTGTTGCTCCAAGGTCTGGTCCAGTCATCGTTTCCATGAATAATTCCCCCCGAGGCTTCCTGGCAGAAAAGTGTTTTGCAAGTTTCACTTGTAAAAAAAGTATTTCTACCCGGCATAGGTTTAAGCATGTAAATAATACATAAGCTCAACCAATTTTTATAGCCAAGGCTGGCAAAAATCTCAAAATGTAAATCTATTCCAAGTTGTTTGTGCTTTTTAAAAAGTGCTTACAAAATACTCACATCCCTTCAGTTAGCGCAAATACATTTGGTGACCTAAAAGCCCGAGTAAGGGCCCATCGTGAGGGGAAGTGTAATGTTGACTCTGGTTTACAGAAAGTGAATCTGAGTCATGGCAAAATCCTGAAATTTCACATGAACTCATTCTGCCTGTAAATGCCCCAGAATCACTGGTGAGGAAATGTGAACTCTCCGGGCAGGCAGAAGCACTTTGTTTTCCAGGGTGCGGTGACGCCAGATCCCCGCTGCTCCTGACAAAGACCCTCGTCAAGCTGGTGTGTCATCCTCGCCCCGCCTGGGCCCAGCGCGGCGGGTGAGCGCGGACCCGCTTCCCAGCAGCTCCGGCCTCCTCGGGCACGGGGACAGGCCGAGTCCCCGGGGCGCAGCGCCACCTGCTGGACTCCGNACTTCCCGGCTTCCCAGCAGCTCCGGCCTCCTCGGGCACGGGGACAGGCCGAGTCCCCGGGGCGCAGCGCCACCTGCTGGACTCCGAGTGATCAAGCGGCTGACTGGGGTGGACCTAGGAGACCAAGAAGTTCTGACAGTGCCCAGTGCCCTGTTTGCCTGGAGGCAACACCCAGGCCTCACTGGAAAGAGAACAAAAACACTAGCAGAAACAGGCAGCCTTTGTCCACACGGTCAGCGCCCCACGCAATCCTTTCCTCACATAGAATTCGGCGTGCAGGCGTGCACGTGCCTGTGGGTGACGGTAGCCGAGCGTTTGGGTGCCTGTAGGTAACCTCTCAAAGGTAGGAAAAGTGATGTCATCGGCTTCCCACTTGTTGGACTGGTAAGGAATTCTACAGCTGACAGACTTTTACATAAATTACGCCATTTAATTAAACCCCCACTACTCTGTACAAGTAGATAAAACAGCCTCAACCAAATGAACTGCCAGCACCTTGGCTCTCCTAGAATTACTCATAACCTAGCCCACGTTTGAGGATGACAGCTAACTGATGAACTTTCCCCCTTTTCAAAAGATTTCACCCACATGGAAACAAAGACTGTCACAACCCCCCAGCCAGGCAGACGGGCCCTGTGTGGAGAAGACCAAGGCTGAGTCTGCGATGAAGTAAACTCCTGCCAGCTATGGGAAGGAGACGTCTGAAATCAAACCGCAGTGGCTTCCAAGCAGCTGGTAGTGGGTATGTCAGGAAACACATGAGCAGGGATGTGTAAGTGTTTGCCGGAACTTCCTTGGCTCTTTAGAGATGAACTCGCACGTCACAATCATGGGGTGATTTTCCCTGCCTGAGAGGCTATGAACCTATAACTGCGGACATTTGCTGAAGCAGGAGGCCTAGAAGACAAAGCACTGAAAGGCACTGATGCTTTGGCCACGTGGACATGTTTGCTGACAGTTCTAGGAACACCAGGGACCAACAGATTGGTTCTTCTAGATTTTCCTGATGCCTGAATAATAAAAACTACAATATGTCGAGGGCTTGCTTTGCCAGGGAGTAGGCTAAGGGCTTTACCTTCTTTTTTCATATAGTCCTCACAACTGCTCTATAAAATATGCTATATGATCAGCCTATTTTACAGATGAGAAAACTGCAGCCCAGAGAGGTTAAGTGGCCTGCCTGAGTACGCACAGCTCAGAGGCATATAGCTAGGACTCAAGCCCAGGTCTCTTTGACCCAAAGACTATGCCCCTAATGTTTACTGTTTCCCAGTAACTGCTTCCTAGCTGTTTGTACCCTGCCACGCCCTGAACTATGGTATATTTTACTGTTTATTTCAGGGCCAAAGCAACTCATCAGCCACATGACACCACTCATTTTCACTGACCCCCTGAGTATGAAAACAAGGCTTAAAGAAAGAGCTTTCGTTCACTTTGTTTTGATCCAGGACGACAGACTGGGAAGTGGTTGGGACAAATCGTCCTGGGTCAGAGGTCAGGGGACAGCCTGGATAATGATAGCAAAAACAAACAAGGCCTGTCACAGCAGCTCTTAGTAGCGTGTGGGAACCCACAGGCTGAGTCTCATGCATGTGTGTCTGAATGGGATGGGCTAGGTCTGAGGCAGCGTGGGGCGGGTGAGGAAAGCAGTGTCCCAGATTCAGCTCCCGGATCTGCCACATACCAGCTGTGGAACTGTGGGCAGATGCAGGGAGCAGCCTCGGGCAGTGTCATCTCTGAGAGCTGCCAAAATTCCGGGGCTTCTCACTGTAAAGTGGCAAAAATGATCCCGTCTGTGCTAAATTGTGGTTTGGTAACGTGAGCTAAGGTACAGGAAAGTGCTGTCATGCTCCAGGCTCTACAGATGTTGAGCTTTATGGTTATCAGTTCCACTGGAGAAAAAGGTGCTACTATTTTCGTTAATTCTGGGCTGCGCTTACAGGAGACATGGCAAGGGGCTATTTTCCTTGCAGTCTGGCCCTCTGCTGAACACATTTTGGACAGAATTACATGGTTTGAGGTTCCCATGAGGCAGTTTGACCTGACTGGGTAATCGGAGTGACCTGTTCATCAAAGCTGTTCCGCACAGCCCGAATTCCCTCACCAACACCAGTGCTATTTTCCCCATTAAGCCAACAGGTCCTAAGGGCAAAAAAAATTATAGTAGTGACCCCTGATCCATGAGGGATATGGTCCAGGTGGATGCCTGAAACCACAGATCGTTCTGAGCCCTATACAGGGTGGGCAAAAGTAAGCTTACGGTTGTGAGTATGCAAAACAGAGTTTGTTCTTGTATTATTATTTATTAATTATTGTATTATTTTCCATACAAACAACTGTAAACCTACTTTTGCCCCACCCTGTACATACTATGTTTCTCCTATACATACATATATACTTCCGATAAAGTTTAATTTATGTTAGGCATGGTAAAAGATAACAACAACAATAAAATAGACCAATTATAACAATATGCTGTAATAAAAATTATGTGAAAAGGGCCTCTACCTGTCTCAAAATATCTTACTTTACTATACTTACCCTTCCTGTGATGCAAGTTGATGCAATGCCTACGCGATGAGATGCAGTGAGGGGAATGACATAGGATTGTCACGTAGCGCTAATCGACGTTAGTGTATCCTATGATGTTCATGAGTTTATCAACATGTGCAGGAAGAGTGCACTCACATAAAGGAAGGCTTATTTTAGTCTCTGGTGTGAAAAACAGAAAAAAAAAAAAAGCTACATGATGAAGTGTGTTATGGTAGGATCAGACAATATAAAAGGTAAATGGTAACCCTAATCAGTATGATACTATAATGGTGGATGCATGATCTTATTTATGCATTGTCAAAACCTACAAAACTGAAGGAAGAAAAAAAACCTACAAAATTGTACAATACCAAGAATGAACCTAAATGTAAATGATGAACTTTAGTTAATAATAGTGTTTCGATATTGGTGTATCAGTTGTAACAACGGTACTAACTAATGCAGGACCTTAATAACAGGGGAAGCTATGTGCAGGAAATGAGGAAATATGACTAATATTTGTACTATCCG